GCAGTGTACCTTTGTTTTATTACAATGCGAGAAACATACATACACTTGTGACGATTCTTCATTATTTAATTTCTTTAAATATAACACAGAGCGATAATATTTGGTGGCAACAATTGGAAAAGTGAAATGGGCATTTAAAGTTTTCAATGCAAAATGCCAAAACGAAATTAATAACCCTTTGGCTAAAAACCTGAAAGCTTTCAAATTTTATATTATGTCCAAAGACACCTTTTTTTAACGTTTTGTGTGTGTAACCTTTTCTTATTAAATATCATGTCTTTGCACTTAAACTACATAAAATTCAATTCAACAGCAATATCACAAAATATTTAAAAACAGCATGTCTTTAGAATTTCCAATAGACAGACTTGCACACTGGAGATAAAAATGTTCTTTTTCTGTACAGTGTTGCCATTGCTCACTATGCAATCATTGAGTTTGTTAATCAGAAATTCGTTAAAGTTTTACAAAATGTGAAATAGAAAATAAAACAAATTCAAAATTCAAGATTTGGGATTCCAGGTGCTCATGTTCGGTGCAGGATTACGTTATTCAAAATTTGATGACTCTAGGTACCGTCGTTTTTTTCACACTGTGAGAAACATACCTATAGCCATGCATATTCTCCTTTATTTAATTTCTTTTAAAATAATACAGGACGGTAATATTTGGTGGAAACAATCTGGAAAGTGATACAGCCTTTTACAGTGATTTAATGCAAAATCTCATTTCGAGACTATTAGCACTTCTCAGTTAATGCTCCTTTGGGATAAACAGAAGCTAAAACAAACAAACAAAACAAGACAGAAAAGAAAAGAAAGATATATTTATGTGGTGAATCATATTCGTAAATGTAGGAGAGCAAGAAAATTCAGTTCTGCAGGATTGGAAATTTGACTCATTATTATTCTAATCTGTGTGCATACAGCATAACTTTGAAATATGTATACATACAGCTTATATATGAAGCAATTATGTCATTCATGGTATATACGTATGTATTTTTACACCATGCTCTATGCTCCCAGCCTTAGTAGGCTTCCAGGTTCAAGAGCATAGCAACATAAATTCTCTAAATTTTATAAACATAACAAAATACGAATTTCTATTCTCATATTTTGTAAATTCTTTTCAGGTGTTTGTTTGCATCAATTTAGTCTTTATAATGGCTCCTAGAAAACAAAGCTTGAAGAAAACACAATTACTTTGGAAATAAAGATTGGAATATCAGAAAGATAAAAAAGAAGAAGGTTCAACTTTAGTGGCAAGACATTTTCAATTAAATGAAGTGAGAGTTATAACTACCCCGGAAAAAAAAAAAAAAAAAAAAAAAAAAAAAAAAGTTGAAAATATTACATTGATTGTAGCAGCTGGATCTTCTGTAAATTTAAAACCTACTTCAACTTTACTACGTCAAAGATACAGATATGGAGTTAATGGGAAATGCTTTTTAGATAAAAGCTAACATTCAAAAGCAAATGTCTACAGACAGTAACATCATAAGGAATAAGACAATGATAATTTTTAACAGCATCAAAGCCAAACAACTATCAACTTCAAATCAAACAACAGAGATTTCACGAAGCAAAGGTTGGTTCGAGAAATTTAGAAAGACTGTTATTTTGATGGTATGTAAGGAAAATAATTCCTTAGATAATGTTAAAGTAACAAGAGAAACGGCCTCAGCTGATGAGAAAGTTCTTCAAAATAACTGGTGAAGGTTCTTATACCCTGGATCAAGTGACAAGACAGATCTGTTCTAGATTTAAAGAAAAAAAAAAAAAAGAAAGAAAGAAAGAAAGAAAGAAATGCCACGTATGACATATCTGTCTTGAAATGACAGATCAACTGCAGGATTTAAGGTCTCAAAGGAACAACTTTCTACTTATTTATGTAGCAATGGTTCAGTTGATGATAGTTTAATGAAATCTACATACCAGCACTTAAACATGTTACTTCACAGATATTTTATCAGAAAATCTGCTTATTTCAGTGTAGTCTACCTGCTTTTACAGTTTTTACAAGATGTTTTAAAATCACCCTATATAACTGTGAAGACATGAAGCAGTACACAGTAGTATACTCTACAAAGAATTTTCTGTAAGTTTTTTCCTATAGAACATGCAGAATGCCACAGGGTTACTCTGTATTTTGGGAATTTCTCCTTTGACAATTTAAAATTCTGTGCATATTGACTTTAAATTGAGTCTAGGATATTTGAGTTACTCCACATTCATATAGACATTAATATGGCATTCATATAGTCATATATCAAGATAACAACTGAAAATGAGGCACACGTTTCAGGAAACAACTTTAGGCATGTTTCAGAAATTATCTTAACTGATTATTACTTATGATAATAGTTATATTTAAAATGTAGCAAACTCACCACAGAGAGCTACAGATGATGACTCTTCTGTCATTAAGTATATAATATATAGTGTAATTGGACTAAGGGTGGAAATTTTTATAAAAACTACCAGATATATAATATATAAAATACAGTTTGATTTATTTTTGACTGAGATAAGATTGGAGGGTTCATGGTATAACTGAAAGGAGGCTCAATGCATATTCGGAAAGTCTGAAGTTAAAATCCCGGCGATGGCATTGTGGATTTCTTGTTTCCTGACATTGAAAAAGTCTAAAAGACTCTATAAATGGCCTTTGAACAAAAAGGTGGCAAACAATAATTTGTCACCATCAGAATTTGGGGATTGGGTCCCCTAATACCAAGTCACTCTATAAAAGGGGAGAATATATAAGGTATTTTCTCCCTCCTTTTCACATGCCTATGTGGTGTAACTGAATGCATACTCGACGTGCATTCGGGAGGTCCTAGTTTGAATGAACCTAATGATTCTACAATTAATTATTAGTTTTATTTTCATTGTATTTAAAAGTACTTTGATAAATAAGAAATTATTTACTCAGGATTTTAGTGACTTCAATATAAAGTGTAAGAAAATTGCAAAATGAAGTTAGGCAAAGAACATAAAATTTAGAATATCTAATTACGTATTACATCAGAACCACATTATAAATAGTCATTGACCTAAATCATGCATTTTAAAGTGAATTTGAATCAGTTCAGAGTTCTCTTGAAACACTACGTAACACAAAAACCTTCCAGAAACTCCTAGATTTTATATTTCAACCAGCATATGCTGGAGCATATTTCATGGCAGTTATGCTACTAGCAGATGTCCTTTCTTGACAAAATACCAATTTTAAGACTTTTTTCAATTTTGTGGCAGAAGATAATTTATCTTTGAAATTATAAAATTACGCTGTACATAGTGTGAATAAATGTGTGGTTAAAAACACCATAAGTACATTGTTGGCTGTTAAAATGCTACACCACGAAGAAAAGAAGTTAGCAGAATCACATTTATCTTGTGCAAATACATTACAATAGAAGGATGAAATAATTGAAATTTCAGGTAATTTTGAGGACATCTGCAAAACAGCATCTGTTATATGGCAGAGAATGGAGCTAACAGACTTCGTAGGTAGTTATAGGTTATTACAGTCTAAGCTAAAATCCTTTTGTCATGGTGGCTAGCAGAAGTTACTGTGCCATTCTCTATGCAAACATTAATTAGATTGTCTCAGGAGAGATCTATAGAATGTGTTGACTAAGGCAGGATTGGAACACCTTGTGTATCAAAGAAACATAAGACAAGGCGGATAACAAGCAGTCTTGCATTGTCCTGTTGAAAGATAGAACAGCAGAGATTCCAAAGATATGGCAGAGTCGTAGGCATTAAAATCTCAAAAATTAAATTTGGCTAGTCGAAGTACCAGATATTAGTACCAGATACACCAGATGTGGATTAAAAGTGAATAAGATGTACACCACAAGGCACCGAGGGCTGGGCTAATATGATAATGAAGAACACTGATTCCAATCTTCGATTCATTTTAATGTTCGATTCCATCGTTATCTCTATACACAGATATAGGCATCATGATGCTATAAGAAAAGGAAGGCTTCATCAGAATATGTGGTATGTTGCTCTGGGAGGCTCTCCTAGACACATCAGTTGCAGATTCTTATTACAGTCAAAAAATCTTAACCAATATGAGCAAGAACTGTGCAGTAAGATGATCTTAATTTTCAACCATGGCACTTTACCAAGGATGATAAAATATTGTTAAATGGGAAATTCTATCCTTCTGTTTGCTTGTTTTTTTTTTTTTTTTTTTTTTTAATTCTGCATATGTGATTAATTCTTAATAATATATACTTTCATAACAAATTTTATGCCTGTGTATTTGATATCTGTGATATTTCTTTAATAAAGTTTCCACAACTTTTTAATCCAACGAGCTATGAAGCAACATTCAAAATAACATATTATGGTGGCTAATAGCTGTTTATAAATTATCATTAACAAGAATCACTTGAAAATTATAGTTATTCCTTTACTGCAAAATGATTAATTTTCGTAATCATTAAACATTTTTTAAACTTCTGAAATATCTGGCATTTTACTTTGCAGTTTATATGTTTTTATTACTAAACAATTATCCAGCTTGGATAGCTAAATGATAAAACTAAACATTTGATAAATTAGGAAATTTTTAGTTACAGTATTTATTGTAAAAATTTGTGCATATATATATATATATACATACATACATATATGAATTTTATATTCTCGGTTATGCATTATGAGCTACTTTCAAAATTAATCACTTTTCTATATCTTTTTAGTTTTTTCTCTTGACAAATGGATAAGCTACATTTTTCTCCATATATAATGTAAATATGAGCTATTTTCTCTACAAAGTCCTCTTTAAAGGCATTCTTTCCCTTCTGCGGATAGTTCTCTTGCACTTTGCCTTATAGAACTTACCAAAAACATAATATTTTTTAAAAATAACAGTACATAATAATTCTTACACTGATTTTTACCATTCCTTTCTTATGAATGTTGCTTCCGATTTTTAATTAATAATGTTTTTTTTTTAAAAAAAGAATTGAGTTACTATTTTCAAATATTTATTTTTACTTTCTGAATGTGTTAAGTTTTTAGAAAAATATATACATCATAAAAACTAAAATCAATAATACATTATAATGGAAGGAAATTCACTCAGTTTTAACTTTCAGTTTCTTCACATATTCTTTAAAGCGAAAATACTGAGTTTGAGCATCCTGCAAATGTATATGCATTGAATTAGTTTTCACATTCCCATTATAACCTGAAAAGAACTACTCAAAATGTTAAGAATTGGTGGATACAAGTTTTATCTCTATAAATATTAATTCTAGACATATACTAGTTCCATACATGAAGTTTCTCAAAATTATGTAAAGAATTTTATAACAAGAGTTAATACTGGCGGGGGATTTTGCACATATAAAATCTAAATTTTTTCATAGCTTGTATACAACAGAAAGCTAGATTAGCAAAATATGTAATTAGTAGTAATATAATTAAAATTATTAAGGATAATTTAACAATAAATGCTGTTTCACCCAACACAGAACTACTGATCAGAAAGCAAAAAACTTTTATTTCACGTATTTGGTTTTCAATCTGGGAGGGGGGGAGAATCTTGAAATCTGTCGCTTAAAACTTTGTAGTGATCAGTAATTGGCACTATAAAGTAACCTAATTCAATAAATTTGCTCAAAAATATCTTGATTAATTTTGCAAGAAAAGAGATACAGTGAACCCTCTTGCAACAACAGCTATCAAATTTTAAAAAATCCCTTTTTTGTTGAGAGATTTTTTAAGAAAGTAGGAGAATTTTCTCAGCAAAAGCGATATTTTTTTAATAATAAAAATGTACAAGAAGAAATCTTTAATCTTTAAATATGGAAATTCTAAAGGAGTTTAACAAATTGATTCAATTTATAAATGGCAGGTACAGTGTGAAGTTGTCGTGGATAGCATGCATACATAATTAATTAGGAAGTTATAGAGAGGTCACATTTAAACGTTTTAATATTTGGTTTGGAGATTCAAGACAGATCTGTCGTTATATAAGGAATAGTGAGAGGTTGTTGATAGTTGCCTTAAAGAAGAAATAGTTGAAAGATTTTCTGATTTACCAAAGGATGAATTATTTTATTTACCCCACCATGCTGTTGTTCAAGAAGACAAAGTCAGCAGCTGTCTGCGAATTGTGTTTGGTGGTGCAGCTCATGAAAAAGGAGAATTTTTGCCCAGTGACTGTCTCCATATTGGAATGATCTTGTATCCTAATTTGTTTGAACTGTTATCAAAATTTAGACAAAATGCTGTAGTGTATACCTCAGACATATAGCAGACCTTTCTACAAATTAAAATTGATCTAGAAGATCATTGATATGCTAAATTTTTCTGTACTGATGATCAAGTCCTAACAAATATATTGCACTTAATTTTACTCATGTTTTATTTAGACTTACACAAAGTCCTTACTTGCTCACAGTTACACTAAAATTCCATTTTGAAAATTATCAAAATTCGGATCCAGAAACCTGTGAATTTCTACTAAATTCTTTCTGGGTTTACAATTTCGCTGCCAAAACTGAGAAAGTAGAGATAGCTCCGAAAACCAGCAACAAAAGCAGTGAAATTCTTAAAAATGCTGGAATAGTACTGAGAAAATGGCAGACTAATTCTGTCGAACTTCACAATTAATGGAAGAAGGTAGGTATAGAAACTTATGATACTGATGAAGCCATCACTGGATATAGTATGCCATCGAAAGTTCTAAGGAGTAGTCTGGAACACAAACAAGGACTTGACTTTTTTTGATGTAAAAAATTTGATGAATATTCTTCCCAACAGATCCAGTGCAAAGTACTTCGCCTTCCAAATATTGGTTGTATCTTTGACCGAATTGGATCCATCGAACCTTTCTTAGTTTGACTTAAGCCAGCTGGCATGGATTGGGATGATGAATTCCCATCTTTATTGGACTACAAATAACAGACATGGCGTAGCGAAGCTGAACACTTGAACAACATTGCAGTTCCTAAATATCATGTTTCTGAATTTAATTTACGTGAATTTGTTTCACTTGATATTCATTCTTTTTCAGATGCATCTGTGATGGCATATGGGTCAGTGATACATTTGAAAGTGCTACTCAAGACAATAGAGTTATTACTACAGTCAAAAGTCGTTAATCCGGACCTCAAAGCTACAAACTTTCTGCGCATGCATCAACGCATAATGCGTTCACGCATAATGCACTCACGCATGCACGTAATACTTTTACGCATGCACATATGCGTGTGCGCATGCGCATAATATGTGTACGCATGCACGTTTAATGTATAACAAATAGTATAAGTTAAGCTAAAATTATCGAATTATCTATTTCAGTTAATGTTGCAGATTGCATTGTTCCTTAATCTTCGAATTGGATCCGGCTTATTATTATTATTTTTTTTTTGCAGACTGTTACAGCAATTTTATAAAAGTAAGCTTGAACTTTCGATTATGTCAAATAGAATTTCCGATGCTGGAGCTGCCAAAGGATCTACAAAGCGAAAGTATGTTTCGATGTCCATCAAACAAAAAGTGGAATTGTTGCAAAAAATGGATAAAGGCATATCCTTTGTTTCTCTAACCATTCCGAAATCTGTTTATCAATTTCACGCTGCTCTGCGGGTCAGGGGGAATGCAGCGTGCAATGAACTGGAAGTTGATCTGTCAGCACTATCCTTATCTTCAGGGCAGATGTTTTTATTTTATTCAGCTTATAATTCCTTACTAAATGTAGTATTTCATCTCGATGTATTCCGTCTTTGATATGATTTAAATCAAATTCCTCATCATTATAAATATCACGAGTACACATCAAATAGTTTTCTGGTTGCAATTTTCTAATTTCGACTATGTGTAATGTATGCTTTGCGCATACGCGCGTTGAAAGAAATGTTTAATAAAGTAAACAAATAAATATTAAGCTTTTTTTTTTTTTGTAAATTTTGATACCCTTTAGGTCATAATTGCTCTTTATTTCATAAATTACGGTTTAATATTTTTAATTTTATAATTTTCTGCATGCCATCTTACCAGATTTAAACTGATGATCTATAATCCGGAAAAAATGATAATCTGGAAGTCCAGACGAGTCCGGATTAAAGACTTTTGACTGTAGTTTCATATGCTCCAAAAGTAAAGTTGCCCCTATCAAATCTATCACACTCCTGCATTTGGAACTGCTAGGATGTTTATTATCTTCTAGGCTTACTAAACAAGTAAGTAAATATTTGGAATTTTATGTAAATTGCTACTTCTAGACTGATTCCAAAATATGTCTGTTTTGGATAAAGAGTGAGGCCTGTAAATATAAACCCACTGTGAAGAAAGAGTAGATGAAATTCAAAATCTTACTCATCCTAACAAGTGGGCTGATTGTCCTGGGAAGGAAAATCCTACAGACATCCTTTCCAGGGGTATTTCAGCCTTACACTTAGCTGAAGATTCTTTGTGGTGGCATAGACCCCCTTGGTTGAGTCAGCCCTACGATCAAAATTGAAAATCTCACAAAGGATTTAGAATTACGAAAGGAATATAACACAAAATAAATGCACAGTGGAAAATTCTCAATTTATTTGAGATTTGAATAACTATAGTAACCTAACTAAACTCAGTGGCACAACAGCTCTAGTGGGCCCCGGCCTACAGTGCCTCGAAATCTGCTTTCTTGACTTTGGGCCCCCAAAGTACATCAACATATGCCCTGGGCAAGTAGTCAGCTTGTCACAGGACCCTCCCCCGGTGTTTAGTCCCCAAGCAAACTTGGTACTCATTTTTTCGAATTGTAAGGTGTTCATTTCCGATAATGCTCAGAGTTTTAAGACCGCAGTCAACATTTTGACTTTCCCAAATTTTGGCAGATTCAGACTTAAAAAAAATTGTTGCTATACATGAAATAATATCGCAGTTTATTGTCCTTTCTGCTCCATGGTGGGGTGGGTTCTACTAAAGACTCATAAGGAGTATAAAAGACCCTTTAAGGAAAAACCTTAGAAAGGCTTGTCTTAGCTTTGAGGAAATGATAAGCATTCTTGCCAAAAACAAATTAGTATCAAATCATAGACCCCTTATTTACATAAGCAATGAATTAGATGAACCCAAATCTCTTATTCCAGCCCTTTTTCTGCTTCCTGGTCAAGGGAATATTAGCTTTATTATACATTTTCTTGAAATTTTTGGCAATCGTCTTTCTACAAAGGAAAATTTGACTTGTTGAAAATTATTTCATTTCTATTATTCTGAGGTTACGGCACTCTTTAATTATAGTAACCTAAACTTTTATGTCAGCTCTGGATGAAATGGAAAGATAATTATTTGATGCAATTGAGAAATACATAGAATTTTGTAAATCCACCACCAAGAAAGAATCTTAAAAGAGAAGATGTAATTTTGCTTGAAGGGACAGCTAAATCAAAACTTCTGTGTCCACTTGATATTGTTGAAGAGGTTTTTACTGGTCATGAACGATACATACGTTCGTGCCTTATTCGAACTGACAAGGGACAATTCAGTTAATTTATTCACTTGAAATAATTTAATATTTGTTCTTTAATACTGTGTTATGCATTACAAATATCATTAAGTATAGTGTATGCTAATATTTGTGTGGCAAACCACGCAGAGATAAGCTTCCAAGCCTTTACAATGTGCCCCACAACATGTTTCTGACATCGCAGATGCAATCATTTGTTCCAGTTGACAGTGCAAGAGACATAACTTCATGACTAGTGACAGGAGATTTTAATGTTCTACATCATGTCTGTTGTCAAAGCCTCTCAATTTCAGGGGGGGGTGACGAACCAATGATCTGATTCTTTCTCTGATATTGTTCCAGATATAATGAATCACAGGATGTAAAATACTACTGAAAAAATAAGGAAGCGAGACTAATTCAGTCTGAAGATTTTTTCCACTGGAGTAATACATTAGAAGGTCCGGAACTCTCGATTGGAGAGACTCTCATTAGCAGACTCCTCATACTACGAGGATTATAATTCATTTCAATAACTGTCTATGCTATCCCTGATTTATATACATATTTGTAAACAGCTTCTCATAATTGTAATAAATATGTTTTGAGTTCAATAATGCTGTATGAATTAGGCAACCTCACAAATAAATGATATACGTATATAAACGTACCCAATTCATTATAAGGAATCAGATGCGTTACCTACCGCCATTCGACACAGTGGTAAACTAACAGTCCCACAGTAGTGACGACATCCCATTTGTATTATGATATTTTGTATTTGTGTTATACTTATTAATTTGTATTGTATTTGATCTCTTGTTTATATTTAGTGTACTCTTACAGAGAATAGGTGGGGGTGTTTAAAATTTATGTATTTGTATTGTGATGCACGACAGCATGCTCTGTGATAGTATCTGCACAGTTGCAAAACAGCCTATGAAAAATATTTTTTTTTTTGCGTTACTGTAGCAGTTATTAAAAATAAAATAAAAATGAAGATTCATAAGATTTGAATTTGAGTTTTGTTTTAAAAGTTTCTCATTATAGGTTAAAGCCATTATGCAAATGAATAAATGATATCACCGATAGTCAGCTTCTTGAAATGACCACTTCTCAGAAGACCAAAATCATCTAGAATCATGGCTGTTCACCATATGGAGGGTTCACTGTATTTCGTTCTCATTTACATTTTATATTTAATGTAACCTCATTTAGATATCACAACTGTATTCATAAAATTTTATCTGATTTTGAAAAATTTTATAATAGAAATTAGAAGTAGGTGGGACAGAACAGGGGAAGAAGTTTAAAACTAATCCTAAGATAGAAATTAGAGTAAAAAAACTGTTGCAATACTAAAGCACAATTTGTTCTTTAATGAACAGTTTGCAAAAATAAGAAAAGTAATTCATCGCTAAAGTAAATTAAAATTTAATTTTGAAAGTTTTATATTTTCCCCATAGCATACAGCTAAACAGGTTATTGGGCATATAATAAATACATATCAATACTTAGTTTGAATTTTAAATATTTCATACTACGGATTCCTTCACCATACATAAAATAAATACGCAGTTAGTTATAATAAATTAAATTGATCTGAAGCAATAAAATATGTCCACCTGACAGGTGATAACCATTTTTACTGAATTATTTATACCTTCAATTGACCATTTGTTTTTTTAATATATCTCACTATCTTAAGAAAAGGAGGGGGATGGGAGGAAGAATTTTTATTCAGCCATTAGTTAGTTTAAAAAAAATATTGTCATTTATAACCTTTATTTTGCTTCAGTTTAGTTACAATGTTTAAAACTGAATTAAAGATTTACTAACAAAACGCGGTAAATAAGCTGGACAACTTCACTGAACTAAATAAAAGATGCTTTAAACCTCTAATGGTTATTAATGCAAACAAAAGGGTTGGGGGGCTTACGTTGAGGGTAAAATCATCAGATATTACAAATTGATCAAAAATTAGATAGTAACAATTTTATGACAGAAATGAAAAATAAATCCAAATCCACACATTAACAGACAATAGTAGTTTCAGTCCTTTTTACTAGATTTTCAGCACCTTAAAATAAACAGAAGAAATTTCTAGCATACTCTGCTATCTAGTTCTGCCCCAACTTCCCTTGCACATCTAAAATTAATATTTAAGGAAATACAATCTACAGCTACTTTTCTTGAATACCCTTATATTCAAAATATTCATACCTCCTTGCCATCACTGAAGATATTTTCACCAAGCAGTCCTTTTAACATTGCTACCTACAAATAAATATCAAAATACATCTTTACTTAATAATTGTTTCCTTTTCCATCATTTCCATCTCTGTCTCAAATACTTATAAATTTTTAAAATTAGTTTAGAATATGCAGTTGAAAATTGATAGATTTTAGAATTAGATAGAATGATTTAGAATGAAAACCAGAACTTGGTTTTAGAACTAGATAAGGAAAAAGTAATAACTTATTTTTATAGATAACATAAAACATCAAATAATAAAATCATTAAAATGCTACTGATATTAACTATCATGAACACAACAAGAATAAAATTTCTTTCAATTGCAAGGTTTATTACATGGGCTATAAGAAATAACTTGTAGGATGTTTAAAAGGATTTCTTAGATTTACCTTTAAAGTTTTAAACTTGTTTGTGTTGAGTATAAGTTCTTTTACATTAGCTTAACTCTTGTTTCAGCCACTCCTTTTATTTATCATGATTAACAAGGGAATGGAAATTCTGGATTCACATATGCACTATGGGTATAGGCAATGTCTGATCATTGAAAGTGTACAGCAGACAGTCATTAAAGCAATTATAGTTCAGAGAACATACACAGATCTAGGAAAAAAAAAAGTTCTGATAAGAAAAATTATCCAAGTATCAGGTCAATTAAGGAACAACTTAGTTGATTGTTTGGAAAGGAGAAGGAAACTGCATCTTCATCTTCGTCTTACAACTCAAAAAAGCCCAGAAATTAATGCATGAAAACAAATATGCGAGCCATATTTAATGAGGAAGGTTGTAGATGAAAAACAGAAAACATGCATTCTTTTGACAGGAAACTTTTCATCAATGAACAAATTCATAAAAAAACTATAATGACAGAATTAAATTAGTGGATATCCATGGGCTTTTCAGCATTAAGTAATGACATAAATTCATGGCAGATAGGGGAGGGCTCAGCTAGAGAAGAAAAATTGCTCTTTGTGTGTACTTCTTGGTAATAAAAACATTCTGGAAAGTAAAAATGGGCAAAACTTTGTAACAACAGGGTACTAAAGGTAATCAAAAATGATAAAAGATACATTTTTCAAATTTTCTTAGAGCACAAAACTGGTTACCTTACTCTTCAGCATAAAATCTGCTCTGGATTCCTTTGAACAATGCATCTTAGAAGCAAAGGCTTGTCCTAAATTGTTTAAAAAATTTGTAAAAGGAGTGGGGAACATTTTCAGATTTCTTTCACAAGCAGTTGAATTACAGACCACAATAGAATACTTTGACACACATTTAGGAATTACTGTTAGAGCCAAAAATATCCACCTCGAAATTCTGTAGACACAATCAAATTGAATTTCCATTACTGGACATTCCCCATTCATTCACAGTTCCTGAATTCTTGAACACTCAAAACAGAAGACTAATGAAATCCCACTTAATGAACACTTCCTGATGATAGATAAAAACCTATGTCCCATATTTATCTTCAAAGTATGATATGATAATTTTTCTTTCATATTTTTTTAGTCAACTTTTTCAGTTGAGGTATTTTAATAAGAATTTAAATTATGGGCCATACTATGTTTATGGGTAATTCTGGGGCAAGTTACATATTGTCCCCGGTATGTACGAATTAATTCAACTGCAAAAAAGTACCATTCCGTTGCTATTTATACAGTTCTTTTATAAAAAGAGAAAACATTCTGAAAAAACTAAATTTAACTATTAGGATGGAGTTTACAGGGTTTGTACACATTTCTGAAGATGAAAATTAAGTACTTTTAAGGACTATAAATGAAAAATATTAAGGACCTATGAGCAAATGGAAATGAATAATTTCAATTAAAAATATTATGTATGCCTGAATTTCACTTTTGTAATAACATCTTAAAAAAAATAGATCCGTAAGTAGGCTGCATTATTATTAAACATAAATTAACATAATTATTAATAAGTTTGAGAATAAATAAACTTTATGAAATTTATCAAATAGCATTAAATATTATAAGCTTATAATAGTTGGACATATTTGAAAGAAGATAAGTGGCATTTTATTTTCGTTTTACTAACAGTTAGCTTTATGTTGATTTTTTTTTTATGTCTCATTTTGTCACATACTTTCTCAGTATAGAGGTTTAATAAATAGCAGGTAAGATTTTATGTCAAGCGGCATAGGTTAAAATGAGAAGCAAAATCAAAATCAGAATGATTCATAACAAAAGCCTGGCTGCTGTCACCTCTGCTGCTTGCCTAGAGAGAGATCTGCTGATCAGAACAAACCAGAAAGGCTTGATCTAGGCACGGTTGAAAAGTTTTGAAGGTTAGTTGGGCTCTGTCTGGTACAGTTTTGTGTGTTGTAGCTTTGTGTAGAATTCCAGGGCTTGTAATCCAGTTAATATACTTTAAGGTTCCAATAAGCAACTAAAGTGCTGGAGGTGATGAAATGTTTTGCATTATTTTAAGTCTCACTAAATACGAAGAATAAGTTTTACATGAATTCTTACATTTTTGTGTTTTACCTTGTGACCACAGTAAGAATGAAAGGCAATAACTTGCTTTAATGTGAATAGATAATTTTTAAGGGTAAGTAGTTAGTTATAAGTAATTAAATTAGGTAGTTAGATAACCTTAGTCATTATTTAAAACTACTAACTACTAGAATTTTAAATTTAAAAAATAAAATTAAAAAATTTACATGGCCACTATTAAATTTTATTTATTTTTTAAACAATATTTGTTAAAAAAAGCACTATTAAAATCAAAATCTAATAAATTTCCACAGTTTAAAATACATGTAATTTATGACACTGATTCCTAAATGATATTAGGATAATTACACATTTTTAAAAGCTACAAAAATTTATGTTTTGTAGTAACAACACTTAACAAAATATTTATGCGTCTTTTTAATTTGAAGCCTTTCCAGACATTTCTCTTTCTTTAAGCACCTTTTCTAACAATTAGAAATTGTTCTCACTAGTCTTTGCATGCTTTATCTCCTGACTTGTCAACCTCTCCACAATGTATTTATGAGGATTTTCTTGATCTGGTAAAAGTTAAGAGTCCAAAACTCCCTGACAGACGTGAAGCAAATTATCGCATGTCTGAAAGTAACCACTAATTCAGACAAAGGTTTAAATGGACTTATTTGAAATGAACTTAGAAAATAAAGGCATGTTCTGATGCTAACAAAATCAATTACAGTTCGTGGTGATGCAATTAAACAAGAACAATCCAAATTCAAACTAATATTGTGGACTAGTCGTCAAAGACTATACAATTTAATTTTAATTTAAGCTGGCTCAGTAACTATATCATCATAACAAATTCTAATGTTGGCATCGATAATGCAAAGACGAATAATTACAAATTATCAGAGCTGCCAACAAATAACACATCAAGCAAGCAAAAACACAGTCTTATACTCCAAAAACCTCAGTTTAAAAACTGTCAATAATTTGGATTCTGGTGAGGAAATAGAAATGGAAAATTATAGTAAACTGAAATTATAAACAACTGGGTAATTTACATAATAATAACTGTCCGTACTTTTGAAGAATAATTTTGATTCTCTTCACGTATTCAGTTTCTTTCCTCAACACGTCTCCTTTTCATTTTAGAATTTTTGGATTTAATTAACGTTATTCTAAAAAAAAAAAAAAAAAAAAAAAAAAAAAAACTAAATGCATTTAGAATGTATAGAAAAAGCTGCTAATTTTATTTCTTTAGTAATAAAAAAAATTCCTTTCTATGATGCCTGTCCATGTGATAAGTTTAAAAGCATTCTTGACATTTTCCATGCTTGTGTCTAGTGAAAAGTACAGAAAATAAAAGGAAGATAAACATGTTAAGATAAAGGTTCTAGTATCAGAAGTAAAGCATTCAAATATTATGTTCTCATTGTTCTTCCAGATGTTCTCCAAAAAGTAAGAAATTCATCGTAAACTTTCTGCAAAATATATCCATTACGCGTCATTATCATGGAGACATTTTTTGTCACATTTTTCTGGAATTTTCTAGAATTGTGAGTCTATAAATCTTGCTTTCAAATCCTTCTAAACTTTCCAAGCTGCAATATCTAAAATCCTAATGAAAAATTACCCCTACCCATTCTGTAACAGCAAAAAAAGCAGGAATATTTTGGGGAGAAAACTGAGGGAAAAAGTGTAAAATTAATTTTACAGAGAAAAATGATGCATATTCTCAGAATTCTGAATATTCTGAGATAACTATATGGAAAAAACTCTTGCTAAGAAAAAATTAAACCAAAGACATTTTTAATTAATTACATATTTTCCTTTTGCTAAGAACTGTTTCGTAAATTGTGCACAGCATTATACTTTGTTTATTTTTCAAATTGAAAACATTATACCAGGGATGGTCAAACTTTTTCAGTCACAAGCAAAAAATCAGGGGGATTTGGTGGGCCGAGATAAAAATTTTAAAAACAATATACAAGTATTACAATTTAAATATGTTAATGAGATGAATGAAATTGCAATTTCATTTTTAAAAGTTCCTTATATTGAGATTCGAAGTGAGATGTACTGATTCTAAGGAACAAGGTGAAATACTCATCTGTCAGTCTACTTCTAATATAATTCTTTTTAAGGTTCATAGTTGAAAACAATTATTCACATATATAAGATGAAGCAAACATAGCATTGATTTTCTGGGGGGTGAGATATTATATTTGGGAAACTCACTTTTGAACTTTGGCATATTTAGAAACAACTGCTTGTATGATTGTTAGATTGCAACTCAATTAATTCAAGCTGCAAATTTGACCTCACTGCTTCATAATTTACGCTGAAAGGCATGGTAAAAATATCCAATTCTGTCTGAATGGCACTGAAATCTTGAAATCTGCATTCAAACTCAAAATGCAAATTTATCAAGCCATGTTCATAATTCTTAAAGCTTCTCTTCATTTGCTAAGGGTGTTGAATTTAACCTCGAAAAATGAGACAAGTCATTCTCAGCTAGCTGCCCAGCAAACGCATTAAGTTTTATTTTAAGAGATTTGAAATGGGCCCAGATATCGTCGATAAATTGATTTTTCCTTTGCATCTTGACATTCAAATTGCTCATATGACAAAGAAGATCTGTGAAAAATGCAAAGTCCAAAACCATTTTCATTCATAACATTTCGCACTCCTCAGAACACTGTTACAGCTGCAACCACCTAGTGTAAAACAGTACATCAGAGTATTCAGGTCGCATAGACCGAAGAAAATCTTGAAATTGCCTGTGAGTAAGCCCACGAGAATAGTATTTGCAAGCTTCACGACTGCATCAAGCATGGATTTCATGTTCAGTGCACATTTACACAGAGCATCCTGATGTATGAAATGTAGAAAAACAACATTGTTCCTTAGATAGTTTTAATTAAAGAGTCCATGAAATCCAGATGTTTTTCCTGTCATATTTGGTGCTCCATCAGTCATAATATTATATATATTTGTTAAGTTTAAAGCCCTTCCTGAAATTCATGAAAAATATCACATCCTGTTATAGTTCTTTTAAAGAATGCATGTACGCCAGTTACTCAGTAATTTCAAAGTTCTTATCAACACCTCTGATAAATAATACTAATTGAGCAGTATCATTTATATCAGTGCTTTCATCCATAGCTATACAGTAAAATTTAAACTGGCTAATCTTTGACTCTAATTGTGATGTGAAATTTTTATCGATGTCTTCAATTCTAGAAGTCATCGTTTTTCAAGATAAGCTTACAGTCTCAAAATTATTTTCATTGTCTGAACATAAAACATCACAAACTTGGAGCATGCATTGTTTAACGAACTTCCCATCACTGAGAGTTGTATTATTTTTAGCAATATTTTATTCTACAATGTAACTGCGTCTTGGATACTGTTTACATTCTTGAAAAAATTTTGTCGGCCTCATAATTTTTTACAAAGACTTCCTGCAATTTTTTTTTCATATTCGGACATTGCTTCATAATTGGAATTCTTATGCTTAGTTGTGAAATGAGGAGAAATGTTACATTTTTTTAAAACTGCTACAGCTTCATTGCAGATGAGACACACTGGTTTATCTTTTACAACTGTAAAAAAATATATATATTTCCAGATTTCCAGGTCCATTTATCATTAAAAGCATGGCACTCTGAATCAACTTTGTTTTCAGTAGCCATTTTGGGGTGAAATATTTTACGAATAACCTAAACAAGCACTAGCTACACTACACTTTTAATAATTTCACCTCCGTTCACAATGATGCCATATGTCTACACTCTTTCCATATGCAACAAATTATAATTGAACTTGCGTCAAAAGAAAAAGCCGCTGGCTGGATCTTAAAATGTGCAGTCTACCACATGTGAGGTCTAATTCACCTATATTGGATACCCATATGTCTGCTCCCCAAGAAAAAGATAACGCTTGTTCACGCCAATCTACAGCTATAACTAACAAAGAACTTTCGCTTTTAATATGTTACTGATTGAAAGCTGTCTGTGCTTGCTATTTCCTGCAATTTATGTTTTGTAGAACAAAAATAGAGAAAGTAAAAAGATCATCAGTCCTTTGAAAAAGAGGAAGGGAAAAAAAAATAATATTTAAACAAAGTAGAAAAGGAGATGGATTTATAATATATAAATATGTATTTCTTTTAATTTGCCTCGAACCGGCAAATTAAAATTCTATCCGCGGGCCGTAGTTTACCCATCCCTGCATAATATAATAAATGGCCAAAATGGAACTTTATATATGACAGCAAAAAATAAAATATTTTATTTTAATGTTATTTTTTAAATATAATTTCAATACATTACCATTATTTTAATGAAATTTATCAATGTTACAATGTTTTAAAAAAAATCGTTGAAAAATTCCCAGATCTTAGAATTAAATATTTTGTATAGAAACCGATCTTAAAACCACCAAAATGTCCTTAAGTCATTAAATTTAGAACTGTTTAATAAAAGAATTCACATCCCTAAAAGAGAAAAGTTGTTTAAGAGCTCTTCATTAGAAACAATTAAATGATTTCGAAATGCTTATGTTTTACTTCTTGCTCAGAAACTCGAGTATCTTGGATACTCGAGTTTCTGAGCAAGAAGTAAAACATAAGAAATATTAGAAATAGGAACAAATTATAGCCTATGAAAAAATTATAGCCATCCATATTAGAAATAGGAACAAATTATAGCCTATGAACCCATTCAAAAGATAAACCATATTTGTTAGTGAATCGCCAAAAATATTCCTCCAAAGACACTCAAAATGGCAGTCTTAAAAACAGACAGAAATTTGAAACGATTAAAATTTAGGACCTTCTGCCGATTTTGGCCAAAATTAAGGACTTAAGGACCAAAAATTGATTCCAAAAAACCTAAGGACTCTTAAGGTCCGTATGAACCTCGAGTTCAGTTTTAAAATACTTATGCTCTTTTAAAGTAATTTCTTCATTCATTAGCAGTAGAAAGTTATTATTCATGATAGAAATTAGAGCGAGTAAAACTGTAGTACCTTTCAGCCTACTTTTGCTTTTTCAGAATCAAGTCAATCACAAGGAAATAATTGTTTTAAAGAAAATATATAAAAGCCATTTTATTTATTGTATTAAAAGCATATGAGAATATCAAATAACTGGACAACAGAAAATTAGAATTCTTTTTTTTTGTGTGTGTGTGTAAAAGGCTGTGTAAAATTAAGCTTGTTTTTAATTTATTTATTCATTTCCCTTTTTAGATGATTTACGTAATATAAGGTTAATATAGTACAATATATATTTTAAAGAAGCTATTCAATTAATTTAAATTAATATTCAAGATATATATATTGGTTTATGAAGCATTTGACAAATCGTAGCCTATAATGCTCTAAATGCTCATAGTAGATTTTACGTTGTTCAATAACAATAGGGTGCTCATTAAAAAACTTTTTTGATATATGAACCTCTAGTGACCTATTCCCTCAATCAATTGAAATGAAATTTCAGGTATTCTTATTTGAAGGTATGTTCATGAAAGTGTGGTGATTTAAAAGAGCTCTCATGATGATTACAGAGAGAAAATTTTGAAATATTCGAATGGCAACACCCATGTTTAATTTGCGTAAATTCATGAGTGCACTGAAAAACAATAAATCGCATTAGAACAATTCATGTTTGATGAGCATTGTAAAGGGCCATTTACAACACAAGAGAAGAGGGGAGGGGAAACTTTCATTGGAATTACAAGTTTTCAGTGTATACTATGTTTTAAGATAGTCATCTCCCATAACTTCACAGTTTTGAGGCACTCCAATGGAGTTCTGGTTCTGGGGTTATCTGAAATCTAAGGTGTATATATCAAATCCAAAAGATTTGTCTTACTTGAAAGATGCCATAAAACATGAAGTTATATAGACTCCTCCTGAGATGTTACATTTGACATTGTTGTCAACAATCTCTCACATGCAATGCGCTATCATTTGCAAAGGTGGGCACATTGAAAACTTGTAATTGGAATAAAAGTTATTTTCCCTCTCCTATCTTGAGTTATAATTGGTCCTTTTCAATGCTCTGGTTTGCAAACGTTTTACATCAGCAATTTTCATCATACATACATTGTTCAAGTGCCATTTATGGTTATTCAATGCACGAATCAATTTGCACACGAAAAAGTGGGTGTTGACTTTTGAAAATTTCAAAATTTTTCACTTTTAAAATCATAACTATGAAAGTTCTATTGTTTTAAATCATCACAAGTTCAAGCACATATCTTCAAATAACAACATCTGAAATTTCATATTGATTAGTTGAGCGGATGGATAGGCCACTAGGGTTACATATATTGTGAAAGATTTTTTCTATACAGCATGTTTCTGAAACTTTAAGCTAGAGAGCTCTCTTAAAAATTTTTATGAGCAAGAATTCTATCTTCAGAAAATAAAGATAACTAACTATACTTAGCTCCGAAAACCCATTAACTTGTGTGATTGTTTTGATGCAAATAATACCTGGTTGCTAACTTAAGTTGTTGATGTTCTTTATATTGTTATTAATGATTACTAAGCTTTCTGTAAAATATTAATAAATGCATAAATATTGAAGTTATTTGTAACATAGAACATGCCCATGTAACCTTAATATCAAGTCGCCAGAACGAACAATTTTTATTTTTTAAAGATTCTACTTTATCAGTATTCAAATGATAGCAGGGAGAAAGGTACTAAAACAGAAAAAGAAAATTATATTAAAAAAAATTTAAAAAGTATAAAAAAAGCACAATAACTACATAATGTATTTGTAACAACAAATTAACAAAAGATCAGATTCAGTATTTATTGAATAGAAAATAAGAATTCTAATTATGAATCAGTTATAAGTGGGAAGGGTCTAAAATACAGAATTGTCAAATGTAAAATTATAAAATTAACTAATGCTTAAAAGAAAATGTACATTTCAATAACTTTTAAAGATGCTTGCAATACATTACTATACCTGATCTGTAAGGTTACTCTGTATTAAATTTTGGACTTTTATCAATTTCTTATGTAACACTTCCAGTGCATCTACATCCTATAATAAAAAAAAATCATTAGCTTAGAAATATTAATAAACATTTTAAATTTCTAGAAAGTATGTTTTTCTTACTGTCCAATCAATGCACTCAAGAAGCAATTTTCTTCTTAATAGCTGCAAGTCCTGGAGCTCTTTCAAATAATTATGTGTAATTTCTAGAGCATCCTCTCTGAAAAGTATGAAGTGTTGATAAAAACTAATACATAAAAATTATATATACACACACAAATTCAATCATAGATTTTAAGTGAAAATAATCTTTTTTATATAGTGCAATTAGTGATTCAGAAGCCTAAAATTTATTATATATACACACACAAATTCAATCATAGATCTTAAGTGAAAATAATCTTTTTTATATAGTGCAATTAGTGATTCAGAAGCCTAAAATTTAAAACTAACTCTGAGTTTAGACAGATAAAAGGAAAATTTGATTAGAATAATTTAAAAAAAAATTACATTATAAAATTATAACACAGCATGAAAGAAAAATACACCATAGTAGAAAAGGGTGATATAAAATATTGCAAGGTAGCAAAAAGTAAATACTGATACAGTTTACTTTATTAATGTACAAATGTAATATAAGATGTAAAGTTTCAAAATGGATAGTTTAGAATGGAAATCTTGTATGACCGTCTCCAGTAATTTTGCAGATATAGCATCTGAAATCTGTTTCTTGCCACATATCCCACAGCATATTTGGTATAACTTTAAGAAGGGCAATTTACGTAAAGAATATTTACACAACGAATGTGTTAACATTTCTTGTGCAAATATAAGGAAAATAATTACACCATGCTATCAAAAAAATATAGCAGCATCCTATGAAGCTATATTATGTGTAACAGAACTGCTTTAATTATGAATGGATGTTTAAGAACTAACCCTTTGGGCTAATAATGATAATAATTGTGAAGCGTTATGCAGATTGTAATCTTACAAATATAATTTTTAGTGAAATGACCAAGTTTTGTTTTTCCTTGATTAAATGTCAACTATTAATTTAAAAAGGAAAACATCTGTACGATCATCTCATAGTTTGCGTTTCAATTTACTGGTCTGCAATTGATATTCTATTTGCAAATAAGCCGTAAACTCAGTGAAATATAAATATTCTAATAATATATTGATTCTATAACAGCAAAACTTCAAATTTTAGAGCCTGAATTGTTCACAACTCCAACTCAATTCATGCATCTTTATAAACATATGAGTAAACATTTCTAGCTGTAAGAAATTTAGATTTGGATTTGTTAATCAATTCATACGCTGTTAAAGATAGAAAATGCCGTGGTTTGCAAAACAAATATTTATTACTGAGATATGCAGAGTTACAATGCAGAGAAATACAAGCAAGCAGACAGTGAAAAAGTTTACAGAGGTTATATATATAACTTTAGAACAGATCATGGTTTAACAAATCATAAACAAGCCACAATAAATAACCAATCAAAAATAACATAAAGAATGGGATTAAGTTGCAGAATAATTCGGACCTAACTGAAAGCTAATGTATGCATTGGACGTGACAGAAAGCTATACTTCCTTTTAACCAGTAAGAATGCGATTAGAAATATCTCAACATACGCTTCAAACTGCAAATTATAAATTCATGACAATTTTCAGGAAAATTTAATTAAATTAAATTTCTCCTTGTAAGCCCTCTCTCTGGTAAAATATTCTCAACGAGACTAACTTCGAATTGGCAACAATTTACAGCATAACATTGTAATCACATCGGTTGAGAATATTTAAATTATATTATTTGATCAATACTTAAGTTACATCTAGTGGTCAGTTAATTTTGGTAACTGCACATTGTTCGACATATTTCACTCTTTTTCTGAGTAGAAATTGTAAAGCCAGCTCTTTTCTTGGCTTTCAATGAGAGTAGTGACGTCATCTTCCTTTTGTGAGAAGTCTTTCTCCGTTGCACAGTAATGTTTGCACTCACACCAGCAATCTTTCTCAAGATTTCAAAGTTCTGTCCGAAGGAAAGTAGGGAGAAATAAATGGAAGGATGCAGAATGAAGTATTCAGAACTAACACTCCAGACTTTGGGAGCAAATGGACTCTCTCCCTTTCACAAAATCTCTAGATTTTTCTTTTCTTTTTTCAGAAAAGGAAATGATAAACATGCAAACTGCAATATTTGCATCTGCAAAACCTTGATGTGTTAAGGAAGAAGATATTTAAATACCAAATTACACTTTTTTCCTTCCAAATCTAGTTTTCTGCACTCTAGAGCAAACACCTTGCTTCATAGAAATAACAGCAAGTGAGCCAAACTACGTCATGTCATTAGTCTTATCTTTCAGTTTCAGCTGCCAGAAGCTGAAGAACCAGCCCTTCAGTCCTGTTTGTATACGGAACGCTTGTCTGGAAGGGTTAAACAAAAACACGTGACAAATGTTTCAGTAAAATTTGTCCACATTTATCTGACAAAATGCCATTTCCAGAGTACACAGCAAGAAGGTTTATGGACAAGTACCACATTTCAGTCTTTATTTAATGCTACACAGAGCACAGATTTTAAAATTAGACAGAAAAGTAACGTTATGTTGTCTTAGATTATGGAATCTGAAATTACAATAACCTTAACATCTAAACACACAATATCATTTCTTTATAACTTTAATCATAATTACACTTATATTTTTCTGCTGATATACCTTAATTTTTTTTTTTTTTTCTGTTTTAAAATTTCACTTTGAATATATATCTATCTATCTGTATATATACACACATCTGTCTATATATTATTAGCTGCTATTTTTCATAATTTTTAAAAGAAAAAGAAACAATGAAATATTCATAATTTTAATGCACATTAGAGGTCTTCACTACATCTGAGAATTACCCAAATCAGATACTTACTTTTTAAGAAATTTAGATGACATAGTTAACTAACACCACGCTAACTTAACACTACGCTACGTTAACTTAAAACTACGCTCAGAATATCAAATTTTCAAACAGCAAGCACATACGTAATTTGAAAAGAATGTAACATATAAAAAAATAACTCTACTTAAATTAAATCCAACGAATTTGCAAATAATACTGTCATACAACTAGAATAAAAAATTATGGTCTTCAAAAGAAAAGAAATATTCTCCTTTAGGAACTTTACCATAAGTTTAAAAATTATGATCTTAATTCAACATTTGGTACCACAGGGTATTAATAAATTATCATCTTGAAAATACTAGGTGTGCTTATTGACTATAAATGAAGGTGAATGTAAGAATTGCTTTCATTTCTGATGGGACATTTTTAAAAGCAAAATTTTATTAGTGCTACTAAGAATTTTCTTTTAATTTATTTTAGAATATTAACTTTTGATTTATTTATATGTAAGTTTTTAATTATTATTACTTTTTCAAACTTTTAATTTCAGACTGTATGTTGCTCAGTCCGTTTTTCTCATCAAACATCAAATCAAAAGAGTTTTCGCAAGACATTTTCAGATATATAAGCCAATGAATTATTTTCTTATTCTCCCTCTCTAGAATCGTTTTCATTTAAATAAGAAGTTTTTAAATGATACCAGTAAAACCAAAAGAATACTTCACATGTAAAAATCATTCTTATTGTAATTTGTTTATTTACATTTATATATGATCCATGCAATCTAGTAGACCATTTCATTTCCTTTGCATGAACATACTGGGTCAACCAAAATGTTCTGTGCTTTCTTCTAATTATTTTGTAAATGCTAATAAATAGTGACATTGATCAAAGTTTAAATATGTTCTATTCTGCTCATGCTGCATAACTCTAGCATGCATTGTGGTATAAATTTTGTTTCCGTGTGGTGCTAAGAATGGACAACTGAAAAGTTTATTTTCATCATATTATGTTCTTTTTTTCAAAGAAAAGAAAAAGAAAAAAAATTCTAGTCAGACTGGTTATAAAATATGTGATATGTTAGGAGAAACATGTTGTTTCTGATGACACAGTTTGAAGTTGGTTTAAGTAGTTTATAACGTTGCGCGCCTCCAACTTGCACGCAACCAAGAGGTGACTGTGAAAACTTGTATAAAAGATAGAGCCTTGTGAAGGGTTTAAGTCCCTTTTTATTCAACGTAATAAAATTACAATTGCGTGCTCTTGACGCTCACAGACTGTGCCAACTTGGCAGTCAAAATAAAAATAATAACCTGAAAAGAAAGTAAAGACAAGATTCTAACTACGAGGCTCTCTAAAATAACTAACTCACCGCGTTTTACAATACCGCTGCTAATTCAGCAGACTTGAAGCTCACTGGAACGATTACCACTACTTCCCGCCAAGCACATAGGCCGCAACGCGGGGTTCTTCAAATTCTCGCTATCTACCTCCGCGCTCGCTAAGTAAGAATATCACACCGAACTTGTTTCCTTCTATTTAAATCATAATACTTCCGCTGATAATTTGAATCCTTGCACGTTCTACTAAAATTTACATATTCTGGCATTGGCAGTTCCAGGGGAAAGTAAGGCTTGACAGGAAAGATAGTTTAAACTTAAATAAATGTTAGTTAAAATAAATATAAACCCTACATTTGCCGCTGCCAGAATTTGGAAAACTTGGAAGCAGGTCCTACAAACGACCTGTTGTAAGTTTCTCTAATTCTGAACTAACTGGCGAGAACCTCGTTTACACACACACACACACACACACACACACACACACACACACACACACACACACACACACACACACACACAAAAACAAAAAAAAAAAAAAAAAAAAAAAAAATCTTATGTAACAATTATATACTAAAATTCTGTTGCTCGTTATAACTTTCTTCTTACAGCAACTTTTCCTGGACTTCATCAATCAATCTTGGTCTTTCCTTCCAGCATCTGGAAGGAATAAGTATCAGTATCTTTCTAAATACATTATAATTTACACTTCTTGACACAATAAATTTTTCTTTTTAAACGATTCGTTTTTCTTAGTTATTGCTTACTTCACATTCATTCAATTTTTCAAGCATTAATTTAACTTTACCCTGGCTCTCCACCGTGTGTGGTGTCAAACGGGAATATTCGTGTTTTAGTCTTACAACACTTCCCCCTAACCACCATGATTTGTTAGAATTCAACGACCAAATAGACACACCTTACTCGACATTCTACAACTCAATGAGCTACTTTAATATTCTTAAAAATTCAAATG